GAAGTTTCTCAACCTTAGTGCTACTGACATTTGGGACCACATAATTTTTTGGGGTTTTTTTGAGGGGAGGGGAATGTGGGAGGGAGGCTGTTCTGTGCATTGTAGGATGCTTAGCAGCATCCCTGACCAATACTTACTAGATGATAGTAACTCCCACCCCAGTTCTGATGACCAAAAATGTCTCCACACATTGCCGAATGTCCACTGGGGGGGCAAAATACCACCCCTCTCTTGAGAAACTCTGAAATAGAACAAAAGTGAAAGCCTGGAGGCAGGGTAGGTCAGCTTGTTGATACACAGCATGAAGGCAGACAGTAGGAGATGAAGTCAGGAGGGTGAGGGATGACTCACATCACTTATGACACTTACGACCTTGTAGGCCACTATAAGGAACCAGCTCTTATTCCTCATCAGGTGGGAAGCCACTGGAGGGTTCAGAGCAAAACAGTAACATTAACAATTCACATTTTTAAAAGATTCCTCTAGCTGCAACATTGAGAATTGACTATAGGTGGAAAGACAGAAATGGACAGCACAGTTGGGAGGTTATCACAATGATCTCATTATTATTTTTTTTTTACCTAGTGTAATTTGTTCACTGATTTGGGTGGTTAGTGGTGGAGGACTGAGAGAGAGTTGAGCTCAGAAGCTCTGGGGGTCACAGAAAACTTCAACATCTCAACAACAAAAAGACAAACAATCCATTAAAAAAAAGGGCAAAGGCTATGAACAGATACTTCACCAAAGAAGACATTCAGGCGGCTAACAAACACATGAAGAAATGCTCATTAGTCATTAGAGAGATGCAAATCAAAACTACAAAGAGATACCATCTCACCCTGACAATAATGGAACTAATAAAAAAAATAGAAAATAACAATTGTTGGCGAGGATGTGGGGAGATTGGAACTCTTATACACTGCTGGTGGGAATGTAAAATGGTACAAACACTATGGAAAATGGTATGGCACTTCCTTAAAAAGCTAGAAATAGAAATACCATATGATCCAGCAATCCCACTTCTAGGTATATACGCTAAAGAAGTAAGAGCCATGACACAAATAGACATATGCATACCCATGTTCATTGCAGCATTATTCACAATAGCAAAAAGATGGAAACAACCTAAGTGCCTATCAATGGATGAATGGATAAAAAAAAACTGTTGTACACACAATGGACTATCGTGTTTTTACGCAAATAACGTGCACCTTCTATATTTATTTGCCAACTGCTATGCCAATCTTTTTTACATGCTGCTGTAAAAAATTAGTATAGAGCACTGATGAAAATACCTTGCGGGGGGGAGGGAGTAGTTGGCAAACAAACATAGAAGGTGTGCATTATTTGCATAAAAATATGGTACTATGCAACGATAAAGAACAATAACGAATCTATGAAACATCTCACAAAATGAATGAATCTGGAGAACATTATGCTGAGTGAAAGGAATCAATGACAAAAGGACAAATATTATATGAGATCACTATTGTAAAAAACAAGAAAAGGTTTATGTTGTTGTTGTTAGGTGCCGTCAAGTTGGTTTCGACTCATAGCGACCCTATAGGACAGGGTAGAACGGCCCCATAGGATTTCCAAGGAGCGGCTGGTGGATTTGAACTGCCGACCTCTTGGTTAGCAGCTGAGCTCTTAATCACTGTGCCACCAGGGCTCCGTATATTAATATACATGTATGTTAATATAGATAATAGAGCACATAAGGAGCACAGTCATAGAAACTTCTTAGACATAACCAAACACCTGGTGGGACGAAGTTCCTAGGCTCGAAGGTGAAAGACCATAGACTTGGGAGCCATCTACGTCAACTGGTTATTAGTTCATAAATTAGTTCATAAAGAAATGTTCTGCATCCTACTTTGGTGAGTAGCGTCTGGGGTCTTAAAAGCTTGTGAGCAGCCATCTAAAATACATCTATTGGTCTCTTCCCATCTAGAGCGGAGGAGAGTGAAGAAAACCAAAGACTCAAGGGAGCAGTTAGTCCGAAGAACTAATGGACCACATGAACCACAGCCTACATGACCCCAAGACCAGAAGAACTAGACGGTGCCCAGCTACCACTAAAAACCACTCTGACTGGAATCACAACAGAGGGTCCTGGACAGAGCAGGAGAAAATTGTAGAACAAAAAATCAAATTCACAGAAAAGGCTAGACTTACTGGTCTGAAAGAGATTGGAGGAACCCCCGAGACTATGGCCCTAAGACACCCTTCTGACATGGAACTGAAGCCATTCCCAGAGACCACCTTTCAGTCAAACAATAGACAGGCCCATAAAATAAACAGTAACATCTGAGAAGAATGTGTTCCTTAGAAAAATCAATTATATGAGATGAAAAGGACAACATTTGCCTAAAAGCAAAGATGAGAAGGCAGAAAGGGGTAGAAAATCTGGATGAAAGGAAATGGAGAACCCAGGGTAGAAATGGGGAGAGTGCTGACACATATGAGGAGAACGCAACCAATGTCATGGAACACTTTATGTACAAACTCTCGAATGGGAAACTAATTTGCTTTGTAAACTTTCACCTAAAGCACAATAAGAAATTTAAAAAAAATGCAGCAGCAGCAGCTCTGGGGGAGAAAAAGAGGAGGAATAGTTAGCTCAAAATGAAAAAGTTGGAACGGGGCAAGAGAACTTTTTGCAAAAGTGGAATGCAGTATGGAAGTGGAAGATAGTATAGTAACTGAGTCACTTTGAAAAAGCAGAGGGGTTGTGTAAGAAAAAGAGAGAATGTTGGGGGCCACTTTGTGTGCAGGACCTTGAATACAATACTAAAGATTCGGAGTTCTAGACTGTAGGTAATGAGGAGACTTTGAAGCTTAAGTAACGATGAGGAAAATTCTGCAGCAGTGTGCAAAATGGATCATAGGAGTCAGAAAGAATCATTTAAAAGGAGTCTCCTGAAATAATATAGGTTAGAGGTATCAAAAGCCTAGATTTAGGGGTGACAGTGGGAATCTACAGGAATATCGTGGGCCTGACATGCAGAAAACAAAGTTAGGTCCTGCCCTAAGTCTTGGACTTTTGAATCTCTCTCTTCTTCAGGATAATTTTGTTTGAAGGCAAGTGTAGACAGCTGGCGATGGGTTGTTAACCTAAAGGTTGGCAATACGAACCCACCCAGAGGCTCCATGGAAGAAAGGCTTGGTGAGCTTCTTCCATAGAGATGACAGCCAAGAAAACCCTATGGAGCAGTTCTACTCTGTAACACATGGGGTTGCCATGAGTCAGAATGGACTCTATGGCAACCAATTTGGTTGGTTTGGTTTTGGTGGACTATTACCTCCATTGAGCAGGTTTGGAAATGATTCCACAATACCAGACATCAAACAAATGCATGTTCGCCATGAAAAGGTTCAAGTAGTGTAGTAGTTTCTTGGAAAAGGTATATCCCAGAGCAGCATCTTAGGTTCCTTCAAAGGTCTTTTCACACAGAGTATTATTTGTAGGTGAGAAATATTTGTATGGCTAGCCCTGGTGGCAAAGTGGTTAAGTGTTCTGCTACTAACCAAAAGGTCGGCAGTTCGAATCCACCAGCTGCTCCTTGGAAACCCTATGGGGCAGTTCTACTCTGTCCTACAAGTCTCCTGTGAGTCGGAATCCAGTCAACAGCAACGGATTTGTTGTTTGTTTGGTTGGTTTTTTATTCCTAGCAAAGAGGGAAAAGTCCAGCCTACAACCAAAGACTTCTGTCAAGATGGCCATACACTTCAATTTTTAGATTTAAAACGCTTTAGCAGGTTTAGCATCCCATTGCGTTGAGTCGATTCCAACTCACAGAGACCCCATAGGACAGAGGAGAACTGCCCCACAGGGTTTCCAAGGAGCTGCTGGTGGGTTTGAACTGCCAAATTTTTGGTTAGCAACCATAGCTCTTAACCCCTCCACCATCAGGGCTCCAGGTTTAGCATATTGGTTGTTAAAATAAAAATCGTATTAAGCCAATAATACAAATTGTTGAAGTTTATTTAATACACGATTTGCAAATCGGGGTAATGTTTAAAACTAGAATCAAAATTGTTCCAAAGATGAGTTGTTGTTGTTAGTTGCCAACGGCCCTATACGACAGAGAATTGCCCCATAGTGTTTCCAAGGAGCAGCTGGTGGATTTGAACTACTAGACCTTTTGGTTAGCAGCCCACCTCTTAATCACTATGCCACCAGGTCTCCAAAGATGAGAGAACCTCTAAAGACTCTTACACCAAATCTTGTGGGCATCACCACGGAAAAACTGATAAACAATTTGTAGTCAGGAAAGATTTCATATAGCATTATCTTAAAGAACAATTAAAATAATTACTGTTTTACCCTAAAATATAGCTCCCAGTCTGACCTTTGGAGTTTCTTCCTGACAGTAACTGAATTCTCCCAAAGAGCACAATGCCCAAGGCAGACGGTCTTACTACTTTATCTAGACCATTTGACTCAAAGGTGACTTTTAGAAACCAGTTTCTTGAAGGCTCAAGGTTCAAAAGGACAGCTAAGGGCAAATGGCCTGGGTGGGTTACCCCCCAACTCCGTAGACCCCAGAAATGTGGATTACAGGAGAATCAGAAACCGTTTTTCACAGTGTAGCTACCTCAAATCAGTCCCACTACATTGCAGATGGAAGCAACAGGACGCCTGCTTCCTTTCCACCTGCTTTTTGCACTAGTCCAATTTGAGAGAAGAACTCAAAAGAGACATAAAATACACGCTTCCCTCACCATCCCTTTTATTTGCAATGGATTAAGGTTGTTAACAGACTCGTGGGGCCGTGGGGCAGTCGTCCCGCTGAGAAACGCCCCGGAGAGCCACAATTCCGGCCGCCTACCCAGTGTGGCGCTCGCCGCCGAGCTGGGGGCGGGGGAAGGGGCCGCGCCGCGGGGAGTAGGGAGCGCGCCCGACGCAAGGCCTTCTCCGCCCGCCCCGCCCCGCCGCCGCGGCAGCAGCAGCCGCTGTGCCGTTTGCTTCTGCTTTAGTCAGTCCGGCTCTGCGTCCACCCGGCACTAGAAGCAGCCCCAGGCGGCGGCGCGACGGTCCCCGTCATGTCTGCGGCCATGAGGCAGAGGTTCGACCGGTTCTTGCACGAAAAGAATTGCATGACCGACCTGCTGGCCAAGCTGGAGGCCAAGACTGGCGTGAACCGGAGCTACATCGCGCTTGGTAGGTGCTCGGCGCGGTCCGTTGGGGGTCGTTGCCGCCGCCGCACTCGCAGCTGCTGCTGGGGAGAGCTAGGAGGGGATTCGGGAAAGGCGTTGTGGTGACAGACCAGGGGGAGCAAGCAACCATCCTCGGGGACCGAACTGGCCGCCCCGGAAGGCCGGGGTCGGAGACCCCTCCGGGGCTGTCGCTGGGCTGCGCCGGCGGGCCAGGTGGCGGGCGGGGAGGGCGGCGGCCGGCCCCGGGGTGGGGGTGGGGGTGGGAGAGCGGGAACTGGCCGGAGCTGACGTGTCTGCCCCCGCGGCTGTGTCCCAGTGGCCGTGCGCTGGTTTGGCGCGGAGCGATGAGGGTGCTGCGACCTCCCTACACCCTCCTTGGAGCCCCGCGCGGAGAGGGCGGTGTCTTCTCAGTACGGAAAGTGGCGCAGGCAGGCGCGGGACTCCCGGCCTTTCCAGACCCTCGGCGGAGCCGGGCTTCCCCGGCCTTTGCGCTGGGAGGGCGGGGGCCTCCGCCTTCCCGGACCCTCCTGGGCGCCCAGCGTCCCGGGTTGGTGCCCCTGCGGGAGGGAAAAAGGAAGGGAAGAGGGGCACAAGGGAGTGGGTTCCCAATATCCACAGATCCAACAAGACATCCAGGGGAGGCTCAGGCCCACCCTTTGTGTGGTTGGTTTCTCTTGCTTCTTTAATTAAGGAACCCTGGCGGTGCAGTGGTGAGGCGTTGGGCTGCTAACCGAAAGGTCGGCACTTCGAAGCCACCAGCAGCTCCGGGGGAGAAATAAGTGGCATTCTACTTCTCTAATAATTCGCAGCGTTGGAAACCTTATGGAGCCCTGGTGGCGCAGTGGTTAAGTGATAGGGCTGCTAACCAAAAGGTCTCGGCGGTTGGAATCCACTAGCCGCTCCTTGGAAACGGTATGGGGCAGTTCTGCGCTCCCCCGTAGGGTCACAGGAGGTTTCTAGTCGTGTCTGGAGGAAAGCTCTTAGAACAGGCCAAGCCTCGCAGTGTGGGCGGGGGCTGCCCCGCATGAGTGTCTCTTTGCCATCCCACCCACTTCTCTCTTCTCCTGTCTCCAGGTATCATCGGGCTTGTGGCCTTGTACCTGGTGTTCGGTTATGGAGCTTCTCTCCTCTGCAACGTGATAGGATTTGGCTACCCAGCCTATATCTCGTAAGTGGCTCAGTCTGCAACAGACCCTTCCTTCTTTTCACTCCCCTTCCCCCAGCCAAGGCTGCTGTCATAGACTATATATATAGACTGTATATCCCCGTTTCCCAGGGAGAGAAGAGCACCAGAGGGCAGTACTAACTGCTTAGGGCTGGGGGCTGCACATTTTGGAGCCTTTAATGTGGTCTCAGATCTCCTGATGGCTAGCCATATTTTTCATCAGATGTGTACCTTCTAATGGATGCACGAATAGGGAAAGTGTTACAACTCAGTCGTCCTGCCTTTACCGGTGGGGAGGTCTTAACAGGTACACAGAGCTGATTCATTCTCCCTGATAATTACTTTTAATGGTTTTTTCACTATATATTTATGGACATAAACAGTAAAATCCCCTCAGTTAGGACTTTATTAATTCAGACACTGGGCAAATTTTTGTCTTCTTGATTTTAAAAAGGGCTTGTCAGTTATTACAGGCAAACTTGGGAGACGTTTACCTTATTATAAAAACAAACATAAAATGCAGCACTGATACAGCTCCATGGTTATATAAATAATGTGTTTATATAATTAAACTAAATTAAAAATGAATCTTACAAGATTAGAATCTGAACTAGTTACTAGTAGAAGTTGTTTTACTCAACAATGTGTGTATTTTTAAAATATTCTACAATTTCATTTTTCCATTTACCCAAACAGCTCTTTCCCTAGAGAGCCAATGGGTGTCTGTAACTTTCCTCAGCCACAGGGATAAAAACCAAGAAAAGAAAAATTTTCAGCTGGGAGGCCAAGACATGCACATTGTTACACTTTGCGTCAATCATTGGGCAGACTAGAATTTTATAGGACTGGAGTGGAAAAACATATTTTAAAAGAGTTAAGTTCTGATTTGAACAATTAAATTGCAATTGTATGACAAGTTACTGTATTACTCTTGTACAGACACTTAGTGGCAACTCCAGTAATTCTGACTACACATAGGAAGAACCAAAAAAACTCAAACCCATTGCTGTCAAGTCTATTCCGACTCATAGCAACAGTGCTTGCTTATGAAATTGGAGATCCTTAGTCTTCAGGTTGAGAAGAGATTTTACCTTCTCCAGCATTATCTACTAAAGTACCATCCAGGTTTTATGTGCATACCAAAGGATTCTCAGGGCAGACCAGGAAAAATCTTTTGGCACAAGAATAGCAGCTTTCCATAAAATGTAATCTACTGATATATGGTTGTCTTAGTTATCTAGTGCTGCTATAACAGAAATACCACAAGTAGATGGCTTTAACAAACAGAAATTTATTTTCTCACAGTTTGGAGGCAGGAAGTCCAAATTCAGGGTACCCACTCTAGCAGAAGGCTTTCTCTCTCTGTCAGCTCTGGAGGAAGGGCCTTGTCTCTTCTGAGCTTCTGCTCCTTGCTTATCTTCATGTGACTGGCATGTCTCTTCACCCTTCTCTCATCTGCTGGCTTGTTTAATCTCTTTTGTATCTCAAAAGAGATTGATTCAGGATATACCCTACACTAATCCTGCCTCATTAATGTAACAAAGACGGATCATTCCCAAATGGGATTATAACCACAGGTGTAGTACTTTACTTTTCTTTTTTGTGTATATTTTACTTGCAGAAGGAATTCTTTTTAAAAATTATTTTGAAGCATTTTACAGATTTGTGCTTTAGATGTTATTGATTACATTTATAATACATCTTGGATGACAGTTTAGTAACTGCCTAACTGCTTGAATTATATTGAACTAGCAAGGAATATGGGTTTTTAAAAATACCGAATAACATCAAAACCTTTTTTTTCCAAATCTGTGGTGCAATGGATCAGTTTTATATGGCCTTTCTCATCATGGTCTTGTAACTTCCACCAAATGATTGGGTGCGGCTATGCAAATAAGGTGATTGTGGCCCACCAAGGGGATTGGACAGCTTGCTAATAATGCAAATAATGTGCATGGAACACCTTTAGGGGTGGGACTGGGAAATAAAGTGTTTGGAACCCTAATTAGGGGATTGGTCAGTTTTGCCATCCTGCTAGGCTTCAAAGAAAGCCAATCCCAGAGCAGAGAGGGTACCTCATTACCACCAAGAAGAGATGGGAGTGGAACATGTTCTTTGGACCGGGGTTCCCTGTGCTGAGAACCTTCTAGACCCAGGAAACAGCTGTAACACCAGAGATGGCACAAGATGGTGAGAAGCAGCGGCAAGCACGGCAGCAGCAGAACCAGCAGGAGAAGACGGTGGGCTTCCGGACCCACAGAGCAAGAGAGCTGAGTGCCTTTGGGCAGGAGGCTTCCTAGCATAGTGGGATGCCTCCAGGCACTTGTCAGTGGAGCTAGGCTTGCCAACCAAGGAGTGCTGAGAGCTGAGCACCTTCAGGCTGAGGTTTAGGGCGGTGTGATATGCCCCCGGGCACTTATTGGTGGAGCTAAACAGCTTAAGAGCCCTAGTGGCAAAGTGGTTAAGAGCTCAGGCTGCTAACCAAAAGGGCAGTTCAAATCCATCAGCGGCTCCTTGGAAACCCTATGGGGCAGTTCTACTCTGTCGTTAGGGTCGCTATGAATCGGAATCATACTCGACAGCACACAACAACAACAACAAACAGCTCTGTAACACTTGCCTGAGCTGGGGAGAGGCTGGGCTGGCCCAAGCGGCCAAGGGGCCGAGAGGCAGAGGGACAGACCTGCTTGTGGGCATGGCTGAGATGCTGTCCTAACCGAAGAACTGTACCCTGAGTTGTTCCTGATCCAGAATTGTAACCTGTTATTTCCCTAATAAACCCATAATTGTGAGTATTGTCTGTGAGTTCTGTGTGGCCATTGCAAGGAATTACTGAACCAGCGGAGCAGTAGAGAGTGCTGTGGAAGGGACAGCTGGTGTTAGAATTGGTGAAAAGGTTGCTGGGTGGAGGTGTGTTTGGCTTCCGCCTCACAGGAATCAGTGTTGGGCTGTTGATCTTGATTCTCCTTCCTCTTTGTGAAGTTAGACCCTGTAGGATAGGAGGTCGGATGACTCCACCGCCACACCACTTCTTACAACATTGGAGGGAAAATTGCCATTTGGTACATAATCTTATGAGACATATAACCTTCCCTGTTGGTGTGATTAGGTTATCTGTGTGAGTTTTAGAAAATTCATAAACTTTCCAGGTGGGATATATAGATCCGTGTATATGTGGAAATGAAAGATGTGAATAGAACTAGAATATGCCTCTTCTTGACCTGGTGTGATTGATTCTAGCTGTGGCCATTTTTAGTCATATTTTAGAATGATTTCAAGCCAGCAAATTTCAGTTTTCTTATATGTTTCTAGTCACTCTTTCATTCATTTTCTGCACAATCAATTGAAAATTTTGGCTCCTTTTATTTATTGTTGTGTGCTGTCAAGTTGACTCCAATTTATGGGGACCCTATAGGACAGAGCAGAACTGCCCCCCATACGGTTTCCTAGGCTATTACCTCCTGTGGAGCAGCTGGTGGGTTTGAACCTTCAACCTTTCAGTTAGCAGCCAAGTGCTTAACCATTGCACCACCAGGGCTCCCTCCTTGTGTCTATAAGAAGCCAAATGTTCCTATTGCTAGAAATTCTGTGAAATGGTAGAGAAGGTCACATTTCTGAATAGAGCAGGTAGGTGAGTTTTACCTATATTAGAATTATTCTGTCCACCAAGAAAATAACTTTTTCTTTGGATGGCACATAAATGTTTAAGTATATACAGTTTATTTGCTTTCTTATTTGACTATTCTGAGGCAAAGTGATATTCGTAGTATACCTTAATAGGGAAAAATGCAGAAAATAATATGTAATGAGTATCTCTTGATTGGTGTTTATTTGTTGGGTGCTTCCTATTGTTAGACCCAACTCTTTCATCTAAAATAAATACAGGATTCTATAAGCATGAGTCGGAACGACTTGATGGCACACAACAGTGACCATAAAAAAGGTCCCTAGGTGGCACAAATGGTTTGTGCTCAATATACTAACTTAAAGATTTGTGGTTTGAACCCACCCAGTGGTACCACGGAAGAAAAGGCCTGGCGATCTACTTACGTTAAGATTATAGCCATCAAAACCCTATGGAACAGTTGTACTCTGTAACACATGGGGTTGCTATGAGTCGAAATGGATTTGATGGCAACTAGTAACAACAACAAATGACCATGAAGGAATTAAATGAAGGTCTGTCTTTGTGGATACTTGGACTTTTCTTTAAAACATCTGTTCTCAGCCTTGGTGGCCCATTGGAGTTCCCTGGGGAACTTTAAAAAATACTGATGCCTAGGTCCCACCCCTAGAGATTCTGATGTAATTGGTCTGGGATGCGCCTGGGCTTTGGGATTTTTAAAGGCGCCTCAGCCTTTTACAGTTTTTAAAAGATTCTAACATGCAGCTAGTGTTGAGAACCCCTGGAGTAGAGTGGCCACAATAACCTGTGCTTTTTGTCCTTGAAGATGGGGTGAGAGGGAGGGGAAAATGACTTGCCGACCTGGGAATAGTCCAGAGGCCTACCTAGCCTCTGCTTTATGGAGGAGGTTCAAGGAGAAATGGGATTATGTGCACAGTATAAAGCATACAGACCTCCAGTAACATTTAGGTAATCCATGTTATGTTAATCTAATCCAGTCTGTTCATTGCTTAACCAGTGTGATTGTATAACTGTCCAAAAGAAAGTCCTTAAGGATGGTGCTATTAGTAGTGCCTAAATCAGTGTTGCTTAAAGCGTCGTCTGCCTTCACCTTAATTGATCTCCTTGCCTCTTGTAATTCTCCCGGTGCTCCCTAGACCAGAATTGTTTTTAAAAAAAATACAGATTCATCTATTCAGCAAAAATCAGAGGCCAGTCATGTGCCAGGCACTGTATTAGGCACTTGAGATACTACAGAGACATGCTGTCTCTCCTCTTTGAATGAACAATCTACTGGGGTATGCAGGGCAGAAAAAAGATAAAGTAATGACAGAGTGATAAGGAAATAAACAGGGAGCTGTTGCAGAGAATAACAGGA